TATGTGACGTGTTAGTTTACGAGTTTCTTCAAATGATTTACTACAAATATCACATTTATATGTTTTTTCTACGGAATGAGTTCTCAGAGTAAATGATTTACCACAAAAAACACACTTATTAGGTTTCTTTCCAGAATGTGTTTTCATTTGGTTCTGTACAGCACTACTGTCATTAAATGATTTACTACAAACATCACATTTATCAGGTTTTTGATAACTATGGGTTTTTGAGTGTCTCTGGAGATAACCATTCTGACTAAAAGATTTACCAGAAACATCACATTTATAATCTTTCTCTTCAATTTGCCCTTGCCGACTCACAAGTTTATCTAAATCAATTTCAAATTTAAATTCTTTATCTACATCATCAGTTTTCTCTTCATTAAAATGAACGTGACAATATTCATCTACATCATCAATTTTCTCTTCTTTAACATGACAATATTCATCTTTATCATCAGTTTTCTCTTCTTTAACATGTATTTTATTGTGCTTTTCTAAATCATCATATTGTTGGAAAATCTCATCACATACAACACATTGATGAAATGTTTTAACATCATTAGTTTCCTGTAATATATAAAAGGTATAACATTCAAAAACAATTATTGGCAGACAACATATATTTGAACATATACTCTTAAAATTAGGAGATAAACACCTGTTTAGAATTCATCAGACTGTTATTGGTTATTTGATACCGCTTAAAAATTCTAAACAGAAGGTGTTTATAGATATCATTGCCCAAAATAATTAACCTTTTACTTGGGAATCTTTCTTTTGTGGTTGTTGACGGACGTTTTTTGGCTTTAATAACTTAAAACCAAAGAAAACAATTTTGACGTAATGAAAACATCCGGTATGATTCTGTCTTCACAAAAAAAACCTGTGTATGAAAATTAGATTTGTCTTCAGTCATATCAGTATCAGTTATTTAGAATATATCACTATCAGTTATTAACAGTCCATAAGTTGTAGTATTTTGATTCACTTGTTGAAAATCTTATTGTCAGATTAGAATTAAAATGAAATTTACTTATTATCTTTCACATACATTCACTGATTTGTATTTTTACGTTTCAGGCGTGTGTTTTAATAAGCCAATATGTTGAATTTCAGTGTTGATGTCAAGCAAGCAAAATTTCATGAAGATTTCCTAGAATAAAGTTTCGAGGTGTAGAATTTTTGGCCACTGCAAAGAGAGGAAATTTAAAGGGCTGTTACACTCATTCAACGCCGCTTTTCGACCAACGCCACTTTTCGACCAATCAGAATACAATATATGTTTATGTAACAGGTACTGTAACAAACGGTCAGATGGTATGAACATAGAAACAAACGGATACAATATTTATATATGAGACAGTTTTAAGTCTGTCTCATCAGGGAGCTATGGAGGCTAAGTGGGCAAGATGGTGGCACGCTAGCCTGGAGGTCGCGTGTTCGATAACCTACAGATTTTAAACTCGGAAACGGATTTCAGTTTCACCTGCAGCATATGCCGTATACCAGTTGGTAATTTTTCACTGAAAGCAACGTTAGATACCATCTCATCAGAAACGTAAGTGTTTTCAAATAGTTTTAAAGTCAAAATGGAAAAATGACTCCTTATAAATATATTTTAAACATACACAAGCAGGACTTCTCTCATTATTATAACATTTTTCATAAATACGGATATTGTACTTGCAGACACTTCCAATATTATTACACCAACAACAAATATATCTTTCCATGAGGATGTCTTTGAAAGATCAATGGAGGAAGATATGGTGTGTGAACAAGTTCACAAGTTTACAGTGGTATATAGTGGGTCCCAGAAAGGAAAAAATAAATTAGTAAATGGAAATGGATTTACATATGTCAAGAAGTCTTCAACTGAGAGAAAGATGTATTGGCGCTGTAGCATACGGACAACAAAACATCGATGTGGTGCTACAGTAATACAAACCATGTGTCCGGTAGAATTTTATTGTTAGTTATAATTGTGTTATTTATTTATTTCGTTATTTTGTTGACCCAAAAGATTTTATTGTGTTGAAAGTTATAATTATAAATTACAATATTTTTTAGGTAAATGAAGATGCAATACCGGATGATTTTTTGTGTGCCGATTTAAGAGTAAAAGGAGAAAGGCACTTGCTAGCTAAATGGTTTTTAGATGGGACTTTCAAGATCGTAAAAAAAGTCATTTTATCAACTAGTGTCAATACACAGTTTTGTGAAATCGGGTCGTCAAATGAAAATGGCGCCACTTTGTTTATTGTGATGTCACGGAAAAGTAAAATAGACTATATAAAAGTATTGAGAAAATTGGTAGCCTTGTTACCAGAACAACCGAACGTTAAATGTGTCACAATGGACTTTGAGGTGGCAACATGGAGGACATTTGAGATGGTACTGCCAGACGTTAAAGTAAAGGGGTGCCTTTTTCACTTCAACCAGGCTATTTGGAGACAGTGTCAAGAGCTTGGTCTGCAGGTAACTTGATTACTTTATATTGGCAACGTTTTGATCACTTAGTGGCAGCATTTTGTAATTTAATTTGTTTATTCATTTAGTTTCAGAAAAAGCACAGAATGTACAAAGCCACATCAAATTTCATAAGTGGCAGCATTTTGTAATTTAATTTGTTTATTGATGTATTTTCAGAAAAAGTACACAACACACAAAGCTACATCAGGTTTCATAAGGACATTAATGAGCCTGCCATTTCTACCAAAATCCCACATACTGGAAGTCTTCTAGCAACTAAAAGCCAAGGCTACAAGTCCCAATTTACTAAAATTGTCCAGGGACAATGGATGTATCACTCCATTTTTAAAATTGCGTCTTGGTTCGTATTCAACCAGACCATACGGACTAATAACCACGTTGAAGGTGAGCATCTTTGACTTATTCATGAAATTATTTATGACAGTAATTAAATAATTACTTAATTTAAAGATACATTATGGGAGATTCGGTAACGAGTTGGCAGTTCTCTCTATAATAGTTAAAAACTAGATAATGAAAAGGCAATTTGGTGAAAATTTCATTCAAATTGATCCACTATGAACCGAGAACTAAGCGACTGAAATTCCCATAAGCCTCGGTCATCATTACTAAAGTCAGTACGACAAACAGCATAGTCTCGATTATCCATTTAATCGTTTAATAGAGAAGGAAAGTTATGCAGTAAATCGGCTTACAATCCACTAAAGATCGCAGGCTAGCGCTGCCATCTAGAGTTGATTATGGCCTGGATAGGTTAATTAATGTCTAATTAATAATTTAGATAACATTTCAGGCCTAAAGAAAGACCTGAAATAGGCAGATTTAGCTCTTGCATAATGTATGTTTAATATTCCAATAAAAATTTGTTTTTAATATATTCAATAAATATGTTTTTATTTTCAGGTTGGCACAGGAGAATAAAAAAAGGCTGGAGAGCAGAAGTTGGGGCTTTACAAATTGATAAATTTTCTGTTTGATGAGGCCCAACTTCTGTCACTCCAATCTGCACTGATATTTGCGGGGAAACTCCACTGGTATTTAATCAAAAATAGAATAGAAAGACAGGATGTAATTTTCAATTCCTGGAACGAGTACAAAGAAGGCAGTATTAGTGTGTCCATGCTGCTACGGGTAAGTACCATAGTTCATGGTCCAGGAGATATCTTGACTGAATATTGACTATGTATGTATGAAATTTATATTATCTATTATGCAATAAATGTTTTTTTGGTTTTTTTTATGTCTAATGTATGTATTTATATTATCTATTACGCAATGTCTGTATGTATGAAATTTAGATTATCTATTATGCAATAAATATAATTTTTCTTGTGTGTTAAATTAATAATTTTTATATAATATATGTATTTATATTATCTATTACGCATTTTTTTTGTTAATAAATATCATTTCCTACATGTAATAAATGTTTTTTTTTGGGGGGGCGGGGGCATTTTGACCAAATTTTTGGGTCGTTATGACCAAATGTTTTGGCCGTTATGTCTATAACCCGAGAGTTATAGGCCAGTAACCTTTTTTGTCATCAACTGACTACAAAACTTGCCCAAAGGAAGTCCTTAGAAAGATCCTCTACTGTGGCTGGAGAAAGATCCTCAACTGTGGCTGGACGAAAGACATCAGTAGTAGAACCATTTCTAGTGGCTTGCATATTAAGAGTAATGCTCACCATTATTTTGTTTGTAAAGTTCTGCTCCAGTAAATAGTCGGTTGTCTGGTAAGCTGCAGGTTCAAAATCTGCTTTAATATAACGGAAAACATCAAAGAGGAAAGTTGTCTTTATTCTTGCCCCAAGTTCATTTCCGGTAGAGTACGGATTAGGGTTGTATAATGAATATAGGCATGGATCTATCCAACGCGAACAACTCAGAAACGCCCCACGCAACGCTTAATTGAATTTGTAATTTTCGCCGTGTGTGTATCAAAAGGAAAGTAAATTAAAGTCTCGTCAACACAATACTTCACTTAAAATAATAAGTAAACTGGATATATTAGCAGAATTACCTTACCTGTGTTCTATACGCATTATAATTGGCAAAGCTCAACGTTGATGTTTCAACATAAACAGGATATATTTGCAAATTTCTCAAATGACAATAGTGAATTATAGGATTAATAGGTGTAATAGGATTAATAGATTCCATGTACTTAAAGGATTTATTTTAACAATTTTTAGACATATGACTTTAAAAAATGCAACCTCTGTATCAACATTTTTGAAATTTTTATTCGGCTCCATAGTAATAGTCAGAGAAAAATCAAAGCATGTCAACGAATCAAACAATAACCTAAAATGAAAGTAGGCACAAGTCAATTAGTGACCTCAATTAGGCAACTAGGTTATTGAGTGGTTGCAAACTATAAATAGACCTACAAAGATTACTAATCCTACAGAGAATAATGCCTGTTTGGAGTTTGGGCCAACAATGAGCAATTTCGATTTTTTATTTCATTTAGAGATGAAATTACTCATAAATTTTCAGATGTAGGCTCTAGTTTGCCCACCACTGCCATAGGTACTATAAATCTATATTACCATATCTTCTTGAAAACTATATTATCTTATATTCTTTGGGGTTTCCCCTCAATGTTGCTGTTATGTAAAACATGTTGTTTTGCAGGTTTAAATAATATTTTATTCAATCAGAGTAAAATTCATCTAAATACAAACAAAAATTGGATAAAATACACAACAAATTAATATACGGTTCAAGAACACAGATTGATATTCTTATATTCATCTTAATTCAAACAATATACAATATATTAATACATGGTTCAAGAGCACAAACTCTTACAGTACCTTGCTTATACATGTATAGAGACTTTATAGATACTGTAAACTTTCAGCGTAAAGCATATTTATATAGATTGAGTAGGTGGGGGAAGAGAGAGAAAGAGAGAGAGAGTGAGAGACAGACCCACTGCACACAAATTAAATCATTTTGGGTCTAACACATGGTTCAATTTTATTTCAATAACTCGCTTGCACCTAGGGGTACATGTATTTAGCAGTTGGAGGAAACCCACAAGGTTGGACAGGCGATGTGCAAGTGGGGAACTGAAATTGTAATTTGTTGATGTTTTTTTTTTAAATAAATAAATAAATATAACAGAAATACAGGTTACAAATATTATTGACAATTTATTATTAAATGAAATAAGCTGTGGCTTACACTAACCAGGGGTTTAACGTCCTACAGTTTATTATTAAAATTGAATATTCAGCTACTGCTTCCCCATCGTTGACAAGTTTAATTACGGTGATTTTAACGAGGTATAATTTTAATCTTGGTCGTATAACACCTATGCTGTTTACATCAAACAAAGTAACACAAACTGTTCCCCGCAGAATTGGTGTCGTTTACTCATTTTACGTACACATTTACAATATTTTGTATCTAGATATACCTTAGCAACTTATTATTTTTTTCTTAATAATTTAAAAAAATTGTTTTAGAATTTAATTTGGAGAAGATAAATAGGTCATACTTAGAGCTGACATCATCTCTTACAGTGATAGTAGCGGAGAAGTGAATATTTACTGCTGATCAATATACTCTTCTCTGTGCTTGTAAATTATAATTCTCAATAAATAATAAAATCACAAAAAAAATAAAAATGAAACGATTTTTTAACCAGGGTGAGTTCTCAAGTGTATCTGAAGAGTTCCACTTTGACGAAATGATTTACCACAAACATCACATGAAAAAGGTTTTTGTTTAGTATGAATTCTCACGTGTCTCTGTAGATGACTACTATTAGTAAAAGTTTTTCTACAAACAAGACAAGCATAAGTTTTTTCACCTGTATGGGTTCTCATGTGTTGCCCTAAATTACCTGTTTCTCTGAAGGATTTACCACAAACATCACATATATATGGTTTTTCACCTGAATGCATAGTTTTGTGTCTCTGAAGATCACCTTTCCGATTAAATGATTTACTACAAACATCACATGTAAACGGTTTCACTCCGGTATGGACTCTGGTGTGTATTTGTAAATTGGGACACTGAGTAAATGATTTACCACAAACATCGCATTTATATGGTTTTTCTTTAGCATGAATTCTCATATGCCTATGTAGGTCACTATTATTGGTAAATGATTTACCACAAACATCACATTTATAGGGCCTATCTCCAGTATGAATTCTCATGTGAATTTTAAGGTAATATTTCTTAGTAAATGATTTGTTACAAACATCACATTTTACACCTTTCTCTGAAGTTGATTGATCTTTTATTTCTGTTTCATTAACCTGGCTGAAACTTGTCTCTCTATTTGTATCATGCTTTAAAACAGACTCCTCTTCTTTAACATGTATTTCACAGTGTTTTTCTAAATCAGTTTCGGATCTAAATTCTTCATTACACAAATTACACTGATAAACAGTTTCAATATCTTCAGTTTTCTCTTCTTTAACATGACAATATTCATCTATATCATCAGTTTTCTTTTCTTTAACATGACTATATTCATCTACATCATCAGTTTTCTCTTCTTTAAAATGAACGTGACAATATTCATCTTCATCTTCACTTTTCTCTTTTTTAACATGACAATATTCATCTTCATCTTCACTTTTCTTTTCCTTTAAGTGCATTTTATGGTGCTGTTCAAAATCATCATATTGTTGAAAAATTTCATCACATACAACACACTGATGACATGTTTTGACATCCTGTAATGTATAAAAGTTATAACTCCATTAGTTTCCTGTAATATATAAAAGTTATAACATCATAAGCTTCCTGTATATAAAAATTTTCTGTAAACCTATAAAAGTTATAACATCATTTGTGTCCTGTAATATATAATAAATGTTGAGCTGTTGTGTCCAGTTGTAGTTTACGATTTCACATTAAACTATCAAATACAACATTAACAGTTATTTAGTGCCGATAAATGGCAACAATTATCGTAAAATCAATGACAATTTTCACAGTCTGAGAATGAATGAATGAAATGTAGTTTTATGGCACGTCAGCACCAACCGGGCTATATTGCGCCAAACATATGATGAGTTATACGAGACAAACTAAATAATAATCACAATAGTAATCTATATATACATAAATAAAAACAAATATCACAGAGATTATCAATTAAAAACAACTATCACAATACTTTATGTATACAGTCTGAGAAAGGTATTTTTGAACATTCATCACACCACACTTTACTTAGAACAAAATAATTTTAGCTACGTAGAAGAAAATCTTAGAAGAGAATTTCAGACTTGGGTGGGATTAAAGGGGCTGCAAAGAAAATTTTTGTCACAAATTTTAAGAGGTAATCTCATAGCCTATCTTCATGAACAATTTGTTTTCTCAAATTAGCTGGCAGATCAGACAGACAAAAATGGCTCTAAATCTATGGCCTAACATTGTTATTATGATAAATAGGGTGGTTGGGTGGCAAGTGGTTATTATTATATGGACAAATGTGATGCGGGGACTCAAGTTTATAATCAAGGAATGATCTGGCTTCCCAAACCCTTTAGTTAAATTTTAGCCAAATACAAATATCATTCGCCTAATCAGAAACTTGTAGCCAGATTATTTATATATTTCTTATATTTATTCTATATAAAATTAATGTACTTATTCAGTACACAAGAGTATTATCAATTCCCCCAGACCACTGCTCACTCTGGGTTCTATTTTCTTTGGGCCAATATTCACTGATTTATTAACCATATATTTTTTCTGCCACCAAAAATAAAAAATATCTGGTAGGTTTTTTTTTAAATAATTTTTATTACATTTTTACATTCAATATAAATACATAATATATAAATACGATGTTATAATTTACAAAATGCTTCTTTACTTTGCAGAGACACATTTTTTTGAAAGCTTTTTCAAAATCTGGGGTAACCACTTTACCAACCATATTTTTCGGTGTATTAGGCGCATGCGTTGATAAGGTGCAGAGGTGTTTCAGGAAAAAATAAAAGTGCATGATTTCGGCGGCTCTTCTCCAGTGGCATTTGAAGAAATCATACATGTCTAAAATCCACCAGCGATCTCCAGTAACTGGACCAAACTGTATTGTTCGGGCCCCTGTTGTCTACAGTTATAACAATTACCGATATTTAGCCGCATCAGACTTTATATATTATGAAATAAAAATCTCTATATACATTTGTTGTCAATTGTATAAAACTCTATATTAATTATAACTTTCAACTACATTATTGCATAACTTTACGGTAATTCTGGCGCTCGTACGGTAGTCAAGTTTGTCGTTAATGTCCCGCCCACAACAAACATGGCCGTCTTAAATTCATGAGCAAATGGCTGTGATAAATGAATAGGTATTGATGTTAAACAAATGAATAGGTATTGATGTTAAACAAATGAAATAACTGTAGAAACAATTTCTCATGATCAGCTACATTATGCTCACGACTTAAATCCTGACTACCGGTAAACGAGAACACAATTCTAGTTTACTTTACGCTATGCAAACAACTGACAACCAAACGATAGCGTCCATTGCCCCGCCCACTACACGCGTCATGACAATACCTAGATTGTAGCTACATGTATTTAGATCTATCAGTGTCGTAATACAGTAGCATTTTTAATACCTGTCAAGGAAATGATTTTGTGAACTACAAACAACATAAAGTATACGGTGACGACACTAAGCTGATTCGGACCATGGCGGAATCGGACCACATTCTAGGCTTATTCGGACCACCACTAGACTCATTCGGACCACTATGGGGCTGATTCGGACCACGCAATAAAAATACTAGAAACTGCGATTTGATATTGAATTAAGTTTAAAGGGGGTTTATGTAGGCTCTAGCATGATTTGTACAACACTATGGGGTTTCTCCGGGTCCTCTTGTTTTCTCCCACTGCTAAGGACCCCCTACGGGCAAGCGAATTATTGAAATAAAATTGAACCATATGTAAGTCCAGAAATGACCTAGTTTGTATTGAGTGAACTTAACTTTAAAATGATTTCTTTTTTTCGGTGTTTTTAGCAGTTCGATAACTTCTACTTCATCCGCCAGTTACCTCATTTGTTGTAAATTTTGAATCAGGACAAGCATTACGGAGAAAAATGCAAGAAAGGGGACTGCAGGTAAGGTAACAATCATAAAATTGAATTGCGGTGTTCTAATATCAAAAAATCATATTATTGATATCGAATTTTTTGTTTTTCAGACTGCGTATAACCAGTAAGATAGCTTTTTGCCCTCCCTTTGTTACCTGCTAAAGACATACCACAGGTAGATAATTAACTATACCGGTAAATAATAACAATGGATCAATCACTGAATCCATGTTGTATGAAAACATTCGGTATATTAAAACGCTTTTAAGTTAAAATTATAACAGTTTTACTCAACGAAAACACCCAAGGTATATAAAATACCAGTGAACCTTCCATCTCATCCTCTCTTCTCACGACAGCGATTTTATAAGTGTTTTACGGTGACTTTTTTTATTTTGTGTTTTACCAATATTCAACCCTTTAAGTCTAACTAAACCAATCTGTCCACAATATGATATTTATTGTATTGGACTTTAAATCTGGAATGGATACGCGACGAACCGCTTATGCCGCTAAGGAAAAGTTAGGGGTGATCGAGTTACGGTAACAGTATCGCGGGTTGTGAATTTAGTTTGGGTGAGTCGAACGTGAGACGTTGGAGGAGAAATGTGACATGAAACCAAGTAAAGAAGCGAACAGATTGGCCGCCGCACGTTATCCACTAATTGAGAAAGAATTAGTTGAATATGTTAATGACAGCCGTCAAGAAGATTTGCCCCCTTGGCGAAGGGCAAAGCCAAATATGCAAGCTTCAAGGCAACTTCAAGTTGGGTGTATAGATTTCTCAATCAACACGACTTATCCATTCGTCGAAGAACGCATATCTACCAGAAACTGCCCCAAGATTTTGATGATATGATTGAGTAAAGCGAGATCTAAAGAGAAAGTATAATACAGATTTAGTAATAATTCCTGGGGGTATGACCAGTATCTTACAGCCGTTAGATGTTTCCATTAACAAACCTGTGAAAGTAAAACTGAGGCAGCTGTGGCAAGACCTGATGTCAGGCGACGAGCACTTGTATACAAAATGGGGTGCGAGCAGAAAGCGAGAATTAAATGTTATTTGCAGTTGAGTTGTGGGAGTCGATAAATCCTGAAATGATTAACTCGTTCAAGAAGTGCGTGCTGTATATCCAATGCTATGGATGGAACCGAAGATGATCTTCTTTGGGACGAAATGGTAGAAAAGAAGAAAGGTGGTCGAAGAAGCAGACAACTATGAAGCCAATACCCAAGATGAAATTGATATTTATTATACCGACGAAAACGTCCCTGAACTTAAAGTGGCAGACATTGTACGTATTTTTGAAGATGATGAAGAATTTAATGGCTTTACGAAATCTGATATTCATTAAAATAACACAAAAAAGGATTATTCATGAAATGAAATGAAATGGGGTTTAACGTCCTACTGTTCTGCTCCTATACTGGGCTAATGAAGACGGGCATACGCCATACAGTGTGCTATGAGGGAAATTTTGCCCGGGCAGCGTCACTATCACCTACTCTTATATCGAATTCCAACTGCCAAGGGATCTTTTACGTGCATTCTAATGTATACACAGGACCTCGGTTTTTCGTATCCTCCGAAGGACTAGACAGCTGTCCTTGTCAGACCCTCTGTTCTGCACCACTGACAAGGGGAAACCACGTCGGAAAATCCAGATGAACTTTCTCGGCCAATGCAGGGATCGAACACCCGACCTCCAGGCTAGCGAGCCAGGGTCTTAACCACCTAGCCACCGTGGCTCCCGGATTATTCAAACTCGAAACTATACTGTGCTAAAACTCTTTGCATTATAAAATATTGTGCTTTTCACATGATGATCGATAAAACTGAAGAACCTGTTCGTTTTTATTATACTTACGTTACATTTTATGTCATTAAATATATTTTACTCGAACGCTTAGATAGCAGTTCCTCAACATTCTGCCAGTTTAACGCTGTCACCGTAAAAGACGATACCAATGGCTTGCGGTATACTGGAGCGGGTGTTCAATAGACGTTACCTTTCTAAAAGCCAATGAAAATGCATGTCTGTTGTAAGCCCTGCCTTTTCGTCACCTTGACTGACAAGATCATTGACATTGAACGGGACCCTGTTTGGATTGTCGGTAATGACTAACAGTACCGGTACACATACTGAATAGCAGAAATGTCATCAATTGCGTAGGAATAACAGAAATAATAACGATAATTTTGCAGATATTTTTAAACACCGTTAATGCTGAACCGCTATCGGCAAATGGTGTGTTGTATTTTCAGTCAACATGGTTGCCGAGTTATGTCAATAAAAGAAAGTAATCCAATTACCGTAATTCCATCTGTACACTGTTGGTTTTTCCGTAGTTGAAAAGAAGATTCATTACCTTCATTAGTTCTTACTGATCTATATCATAAGCTCTAATTATTTACTATGACTAGTGTCTGTGTAGTTTGCTCCAAGGACGTGCGTCCCCGACAAGAAGCATTGCAATGCAATGGTTGTGACCGCTGGCAACATCGCATTTGCAATACGGCCATGAGTCGGGAGACGTATCGTCAGATCGTTCGTGGAGAGTTGGAGAGTGTGCAGTTTTATTGTCAAGATTGTCTGATAGAACTGCCCAACGCTCCATCCTTCACGAGTGATCTGGAG